TGTTCCTTTTATTACTTTTTCTGACAAAAACGCTGCGAAGTGGACAAAAAGAAGCAGTCTGTGCATCTTTATATATAGGCATACATATTTGTAGAAAGAAATGTCATCGCTCTTCCAAGTCCTTTCGGTTTCAGTTTGTACAAGTAGGATTACTGTAAATACATAGGCAAGTGGTGCCAGCGCTCAAGGCATTGAAGCTTGATAGGGAGGCAGCTATGGCGGAGTGCCGTGAGTGCAGAGCTCAATGGATGCTTGATTGATGCTGCCGTGACTGTAGTTTTTGTCATAATACACTTTTGTTGGACATCGCTCATTTTCAAACACAACAAGAGACACGCCACCGCAGCGCAACAAGGTTCTTGGCCAGCGGGGCAGACAGTGACAAGTGGGAAGAGCTCTTAAAGGCTGGTGAACATCCTTCATTACAATCCTGCTCACGCAAACGACGAGATTGAACAAGATCCTCTTGGACAGGGCTGGGAAGCTATGAAGGAAGACATTGCAGAGGTGTCCAACCAGGCTAGGACCTATTGACTCTTTTTTTTGGGCATATCTCGGATGTGAGGATCGAACAGGAGTGACGTGGGCAGGATTTCGAGGCAAAGGAGAAAGCCAGCGTGTGGGCATCAGCGGCTAAAATGGAGGATGCCCCTCGATCTGACATGGTGCATTCACATCACCTCAAGAACAATATACATATATATATATATGGACTGCGCTCAAAAAGCCCTACTCAAAAAATATAGATAAACGTAAACTTTTAAGGTTGGAGATGTGTTTTTAAGTCTTCGTTTAGAAGCGGGCCCCCAGCAGACTATGGTGATACAGCAAGGCAGCGCTAGATTGGCGCTAGGTTGGCGCTAGATTTCTTCATAACAGGATAAGCAAGCAGGAAAAAGAAGAAGCAAGACTAAGACTAAGACAAGAAAAAAAGAAGAAGAATGCACAACAAGAAGAAGAAGAAGAGGAAGACAAGCAAGCAGGACAAATAAGAATCTGACGGGATATAGAAATCGACGGATATTTTTGCGCTAGGCTGGCGCTAGATCCGCGCTAGCACCACGCTAGACGACGGTCCATTTCTTGACCAATCCAACATCCAAATCTTTTGAGTCAGCTCTTACATCCTTCCTACGTCGTCTTGAAGATGTCTGAGAACAAAAGTGGGGAAGTCCAGCAGCAGCAGTAGCAGCAACAACAGCTCCAGCAGCTCAACGAAAGGGTCCGCTCTAGACACCTCTCACAGCTTTTGCAGTTGACACGCCTTCATGTTTAACGCCCCTGTGGTTTGAGTGTGCTTGGAGTTTAAAGGAGATTTAGAAGCGGGCCCCCATGGAATTGCGATGAGTGCACCATTTTGGGAAAAGACATTTTGGAAACCAACCATATATATATTACTATTTCGATCTTGCATAGTTAAACAATGAAAAACTGCATGCCTCAGAGTCCACCAGTTGAACCTTTGTTTAGGTGAACCATGACGAGCAACTTGCCTTGCTCGAGGAGGCGGCAAGACGCAGCGAACTCAGTAGAGAGGTAAAAGCACCAGCTTCAAACGCTGATGGTGAATGTAGGCACAATGGCACGATGTGGACAACCAGATTGGTCGCACTTTGATGCACTTTGTTGCTATTTTGTGTAGGTGGTGATAGACACCGGTGAGCCGAAAGCACGCTCGGTGGATGGTGAACAAGTGAAATCCCTTCAAATTTGTCCCTTTTATGTACACTTCTCCCAAACCACACATGATTACAGTGCATGCAGTGCATGCGCAAGAAGTCCGTAGAAGGCATGCAATGCAAGCAAGAAAAGGTGGGTGGCTGAAAGACGGGTTGGTTCTACCTTCCTTGTGTCCACAATTTTTTTTTTGTTTAAACAGATGTACCATGATGTACCATAAAGTTGTGTATTGTTCTTAATTTGTTCATCCTAAGACACCATTATTGCAGCCCCACCGCCAACTTCCTGAAGTAGGAGATCACGCGGTTTACTCTTGCTGGGTCATGACCCAAGTCAGGCCTCCCTGCAACTCGCTGGTTTTCTAAGTTGAACCTTCAGATCACTGATTGCATGATATTGCATGGGCATCTTGGGGCTATAAGGCGTGGCAGTCTTTGATGAGGAGCTGCAGAAGCAACGGCAGCAGCTGATTTGCAGCTAGAATTGATCTATACATGACTCAAGGTTCAGAAATGCTCCTCTTGCTTCTGTCGCTAGGCAGATGAAGAAACGGCGGAAAGTTTTGCAGAAGCAGGGAGGTCCTGAACAGGTCCGCTACAGACTTGTGCATGTTGTGCATTCGTCACATTGAGAAGGCTGGCGAAGTCCAAGACGATGTCATTGATTTTAATCCTTGAGATATCTGAGATTGCTTATTGAGCAAGGTGGCAGATGGTTACATTGCAGGTATTGGTGGCCAATGTCGTTTGAGTGACATTTGTCGAGGAACGAAACCAATTGCAAACCAAAAAAGCAGAAATCAGGGTGGGCGGAGGTGGGTGCAATACTATAGCAGCCGCTGCATATATTATGGTATGTCATTGCTGGGGTGCCGCAGTCAGTGGTAAGATGAAGATGCAAAATGCTTGTGGTTTGTGCAGTTGTTCTGCAGGTGAAGACGGGCAGAATCTGTTTACTGTAGTTGCATTGATGCGTATCATACCCATGCATTGTTTTGTTTCGTGCGGGTTGTGTGCATTATGCAGGGCAAAGGAGCTCCACCCAAATCTCAGACGTAGATGTCGCTGCAGAGCTTGGATTGCAAAGGGGTTGAAGCGCAACAGTGGAGTAATTAGTTTCGACGTTTCAGAACCGCTAGGCCCTGGCAAACACAATCGGCAACATTTTGGAAATTATATAAAGAGCCAGCACCCTTGCGGACATATTGACACTCAACAACCAACGAGTGTCTAGGACATGAGACATGCGCAACACCGTAAGGGGCACCTAAAGCAAAGCCAGGCAAGCTTGGTCACACAAGGACCATACAATATCTATGGGTGACCCTGTAGTCACTGTCCTGCTTTCAAGCAAAACTCTAGGCATGAGCCCATGGTTTTGGTTCAACGTGTCATCGGCAGGTGCCGGACCCACTAGATGCTTGCAGAACGATGGCAGATCAAGAAGTCTTGACGAAGCTGACCAGGGAGCAGGCCTTTTGCGAAGTGTTCCAGGTAGATGCACGTGACCAAAATGAGCTTGAAGAACGGGCAGGACGAACGTGCCAAACACTCATCAGAATCGGATTTCCAACGGCACTTGGGACGGGCTTATATATTTTCTTTGGTCTCAATATGTCTCAATGGTTTCAAGGAGTTGAGCTTTCCTTGCGAGAGGGGCATTTGGAGCTTCCTTTTGAAGCTGAGTTGTTTCAGAAGTGGCCCACTGAGCACAAACCTCCCGGGCCCAGGCAGAAGCACAGGCTCAATGTCAGGCCACCCGTGGCATGCGACCGTGCAGTTTTTGCGAGGAGGCACTAGTCACTAGTGCATGGCAAAGGCTCCAACTGTTATTGAGTCATTGAGTTTGCTTGAGTTTCATGTATGAATCGAATTACAAAAACCCTTGCGTAGGGACACCACTATACGCATGAGCTTCTATGAAGAATAGTTTTGCCTTAACCTGCACATCCCCAATGACAGCGAACTTGGCCTGACACAGGCCATGGCTGCTGGCAATGGCATGTTGGATGCCTGGGAGCAACTGGGCTCAGCGTGGGCACAGATGCAGATTCTTGGCAAGCGTTTGATGCCGACTACGTTGCATAACTGAGTCTTTATTTTTTGTTCTTTTGATAATATGTTTTGATGCAATGTGTTCCCACATCTCCTTGAGCATTGCCAGGAAAGACATTGCCAAGGCCGAAAAGGACTCTTGAGTTCACATTGGGGTGAATTTGCTTGAAATGCTTGCAGCTGCTTGCAATTAAACTTGATTGCTGCAAATTTCATCACATCTTTATTTTTCAACTCCCACAGCTTTCCAATCCTTGCACGAAAAATCTGCCCTCTCAGGAGGTCTCCGAGTCCGCCCAGCTGGTCGCCATGAGCGACACCACCTGCTTGGTGAGAGCACTCGGGCTCTTGGGGGACTCAGAAGACGGTGCAGCATCGCGACGTGCAGCCCTCCAGGAGGTGTTACCTGTTACCACTTTCATCCACTTTCACTGTTAGTTAAGCAGTTGGGCCACGGCCACTGAGACTCCGAAATTTTCGACAAATGCCGCAGGCTGCCAGGCGAATTGCGGTCTTTGATGAGGCTTGAAAGAATGTGCTTCCAGCAAAAGTAGTCAAAGAGGATGATCCCAGAGCAGTCCTGCATGCGACAATAGGAATCGCTTCATCCTTGCAGGAACTCGCAAAGCAGCGGGCTGCTGGGAGCTACAGGGCTGATGGGTACCACAGATGCCATTGTTCGACCAATGAGGGATTTGTACCAACCCCCCAGCGACAATGACGCAGATGTAATCCACACCATGCCTGTGATGTCCGCTTGGGCGAAGTCCAAGGCCATGCGTCGTGAACGGGACCGCCCGCAGCAGAAGGGAGCATTTGCCCTAGGCGAGCTTGTGCCTTACTTGAGTCGACCCGCTTAAAACTAGGTAGTCTTAATCACTGCAGAAGATATACCAACCATAGGCGGCCATAGGTATGCACATACCTGTGACATATTGAGACGTATATCCTTCCAATATCTTCCAATATACACAATATTCCTGAACATACATATTGTACGTCTAGTATAAAGCAAAGTATGTATCATCTACACTGAATGCAGGAGGATACATGTGTGTGAAACAGCCAACATGCTGGACGGTATTTTGATCGAATCCAGCACCCTGGCGGAGAACAACAAAGAAGTGATTAGGCTTTATTTAACAATACGTTTTTAAGTTCACTGACTGTTTAACTTAGATGTTTTTCACTAGCTGGGTTCAGTAGGGCCCTGTCTATTGGCAGCCCGTTTCACCAGGTGCCGCCCTCCTGCAGGGCGAGGCCTTGAAAGCTTTGGCGGTGGAGAGCGCGGCGGCAAAAGCGGCCTGCGAGGCGCGAACGAAAGCGCAAAAGTCCGTGGATTACCTGCGGTTTCATGCCAGGCGGCCAAGGAGGATTGCGAAGCAGAAGCCTGGCAAGCCTGGCAGGAACCCAACAAGATAGGGTGAAGGACTGGTAGATTAAGGAAATTGCAGACCTGCAATTGCAGGACCTGCAAAAGATTTGGGGAAGTCTCCAGGCAGACTTGGCAGAGGAGAGGCTGAGTCGGTTGCAAAAAGAAATTGCAAGTTGGTGGCTAGCTGACTTCAGTGACAACAAGTGGTCTGTGTTTCTTGGAACCGTGGATTGCCCACCCGATGAGGACGTGAACCCAGCTCTTGACAGAACTGTCCATTCATTTGGTTTGATGTTTGTTTGGTTTGATGTGGCTTGGGCTCCCTGACTTTGAGCACTGGAGCTTCAGATGCCTGGGCAGGCTACCCGGGAAACGGCAGAGACAGCCAGTGCAGCTCAGAAGGCTTGAATAATTTTTATGAAATTGTGAGAAGTCCCCAAACTCCAATTCGCCGACATTCCGTGCACAGAACAGGGCATCATGACAATTGCGGAAACCCTTGCTTCAGACTTCAGCTTTCATTTGGTTTCGGCCCAGCGGCTCCCCAGGACTCAAAAGTAAATAATTTTCCTTGCCTTCTATTCAATCTACATACATAGTATATATATAATTATATATATAATATATATATAGGTGGCTGAGGAGTCATTTTTGAAGGACCAACTCGTGCCGATTAACCAACTCTTTGCAGGCCTCTGAAGCTTTGTGTGCCCATGAGTTAACCACTGCGGCCCGGCGAGTCGTGGCTTTCGAACACCAGCTGGGCCAGTTGACCGGTGACTCGGCAGCATCTGGCAAATATTGATTCTTGGGTGATGTGATTCGTTCCTTCTGTCAGAAAGGTAAGCAATTCCACATGTTGGTTTGCTCTGCCAATGTCACACCTCGATTTATAACTAAGCCCTCCTAGACTCTAGATTTAGATGGATGCCCATCAAGATAATTGTGGATCTACCTAATGCCAAAAGTAACGAGAAGTCTCGTAGCGTCCTTGCAAAATTCTGGTCGCATCGTCGCAGACTGTGTTTTTGCCATGCAATAGCCTTGTTGTCCCGGATATGCCTTGCTATGAGGTGTCCATGATGCAGCCAGCTCAGGGGTGGAAGTCCGCCGTGCCAGAAATTGTGCTTTGGTGGGAGCCTTATAACCAAAACCAGACGTATGCTCTTGAGCATTGTGGGCACTTAAGACTTAAGACATACATTGTATGAGTAAGTCTTGGCCATACTTCTACTCTCCAGCTCACCAACGTGGAAGTGGATGGCCAGTAAGAAACCTTGTTTCCAAGTGCGACCCATGGTTTGTTCACCAAACCACTTGATGTGTCGGTCGGAGTGTGTTCTTCAGCTTGGCCGTTGGTTGTGGGTTTCAAGCAAACACCGAGTTCGGTTTTCAGCGGGACATGGCCAAGGTACAGCGCCTGCAGAGCGAACTTGCAGAGGGTGGGGCGGCAGACATCAACGAACACTATGATACATTATGTAACATTGTAGCATGGTGTATTTTTGTAGCACGTTGTGGTTTGTTTGCTCTTCTGGGGTTTGAGCACGGTTTAAACGTGGAAACCTATGTGCACCTTGAAGGGAGAAGCTTTGCTGTAGGCCCTGTAGGCAGCTTGTGCCTTTTCGCGCCAACACATGGAAGTCGAATACTGTAGGTTTGGCGTTTTGCCGTGCGAAAGCGGCAGCTGCAGGTAGGGTGGGCCAGGGAGGTGCTGCATACCACAAGAAATTTATTGGCATGAGACGTGGACCAGAGGGGGAGATGGATGTCTTCTGCGTTTGTTTGGGGGGCATTGGCATCAAGTCTGTCAGTCACCACTATGGTGTTGGACATTCAACTGTCCTCGAGACAGGTTCTCAAGAAGCAACGCCGATAATGTCTGAGTGCTGTGTCTCGTCAGAACGGGATGGCTTGGGGGTTGGCAAAGATAAGAGGGTACTTGTAGCGCACGAGGCTTCAGACCTGGCCTGGCCTGACTCAAATTCTATGTAAGTTTCTGATGCTCAACACTAACATGGACAGCACTTCCATGCACTTCCTCTTCTGAGAGGTTCGTGTATAGATGTTCACGGTGCTCCACGACGCTTCCGGGAATGTCAGCGTCATGGGGAGATATGGGGAGTCTTGATCATCTCAACTTCTTTTCAGGTGATGCATGGCAGGAGCTGCTGGACCTCTGGCACTTTCCTGAGAATCTTTTCATTTTTGAACTTCAAATCAACATTCAAATCCAACGTGCGTGTTCGATTCCAGTACAGGTGTGAGTTGGCTAAAGAGTTGGATTTGATTGCTCAGGAGACATGGGAGGAAGTAAGGAAGCATTCAGTATACACTGTACGTATACCGTATGTATATATACTGTATATATATATATATGTAATATATGAACCAGTTTCCTTTTTGGGGGAAAGGATGGGAGACATGGCCGAATTGCAGGAGCTGGCAACTCCTCAACCACTGGCTTCCACTCACGGCTTGCGAAAGATCCTGGAGACAAGTGTAAGTGATGCCGAACGCCAGTCCAACCCTCAGCTACTGTAGGCCAAGCTGCTCGAGATAGTTGCTGTGGTCGCATGCCAGGTCCGCTTTGGCGGAGGCTGCTAGGTGCGCCGCACAGTTTGATGAGGAGTTGCAACAGCAGCGGCAGAGGCCAGCAACGCACACAACGGACTCTCATGCGACGATGCCCGAGCCCTTTTTGGCAGGCTTGTCCGACGAAAGAAGGCAGCTTGGGGCCGACGGCACTGTTTGCAGGGAGGAATTCGGAACCTCCAAAGTCCTGATACAAGAGGTTGCAGCAAGAACCGCAAGAACCTAAGAAGCAAGATCCCAACTGTCTCCAAGAGTCTTCATTTGTTGCGCGGCTTTGTGGAGGCAGAGCATACAGGCCACCGCTTGTTGGCCCTTGGAGATGCTATGGAGTTGCAGGTGGAGAAGCTCCTGTGATTGAAGACCTTGGACCTTCGATTTGGGAGAGATTTACCATGGTAAAGAATTTGTTTCTGGACAAAATTTACAGAGTCTTTTGTCTTTTGTTCAGAGCCGCTCGCTCAAAAAAGAAGTCCATGCGGTTCCTTTCAGGAAAGCCACGCAAGAAGCCAGCAGCCGTTATATTGAATTCTCGCATATTGTTTGATAACTTTGTGCATTTTCCGATAAATTTGACAAAGTGTGGGCATCATGCGTGTGCCGGTTTTGGACGGTGCGATTTGTCCGTACAATTCCACGTTTGTCCAAACTGGTCCAAAGAGCATGAGTGCGTTGCCGGAATCAGTGCATAACTGCATCATCATCACACATGTCAATGTACAGATAAGTTCTTGGCTTCCGTGCGGTCAAACCCGCATTTCTCTTCCAAAACGGCCTTTGCACAATTTCCTTCGAATGTCAAACACTTGCAATTCAAGCTAATTACTAGTAACAAGGGCATCGCTACTAGTAGCTTCTTAGTATATAATGCCCTTGTTACTAGTAGCGATGCACTTGTTACTAGTAGCTAGAAGCTACTAAGGTCCCCCTCCAAAACTTAAAGTCAAACACTCCAATTGCATTGTCGGAGATAATGGGGATTATAGGCAGTCCCCACGTTGAGAGTCTAGTGTGATTGGTCGGCTTTGAGTGGGACATTGCTGGTGTCATTTCAGGTGTGAGGCTTTGAT